ATATAAAACTCATATTAAACTCTCAGGTATCTGTCATTAAATCTGCTGGTTTTTTATAGGTTATAATGTGGTAAATGATGAATTAAAAAGTATGACAAAGACGCCCTCTTCTGATGTGAAGCTGAATTCCACTGCAAAATCATTTGCTTTAGATTTATGTTCTATCCTGTGCTGTTTTTGCTGCATTTTTTACTATTAAGACAATGTGCAATATGTTTCTGAGTTATTAATTATCACAGTACAATGGCTGCATTCACTAATTATTTACTGCAGTAGATGTTACAGTAATGTTTTGTTTCTGCTTGCTTTTCTCAAATAAATTTGTGATTTATATTTTTTTATGTTTATAGAAACATGACTTTTTGTTAACAGTAAAAGTAAATCTCATTAAAAAACATTAATTTTCACTTTGTGAATATAATACTGACTGACAGAGGATACCTCAACACACCATGGGACAGTAATGCACTGTAACTTTATCTGCTGTCATCTATCCTCTCTGTTACAAGTTAAAAGGGTGTCAAGTGGCAAAACGGTTCAAGGTGGCCATTCGTTGACTCCTACAGAACACCGTGGCCCTCTGTTGCAGATCAGGTCACACAGTGGTTTTTTTTCTCCTAGTATGAAAACGAGTAACAAAGCAGTAGGGGTTCAACGATACAGAAAATTCACGATTCGTTTCGATACTTTAGTCTCACGGTTCGGTATTTTTTCAATACAAAAAAAAAGAGACATTTCCATGCCCCTTTTAACTTGTAATTTATTTAAATTAATTATGAATATTTGTTTAGCCTCAAAAGTACAGTTTTTAAATTACCATAAATGTTGCTGAAACAGCAAGTTTCTCAGTGGATCTGCGCTCAAAAATGTGGCCTAGGTGAAGTAGTCGAACACAGATCATCTTCAGAAGACAAGTTGATAAAGTAAATTTAAAAAATCTTTATTGTTTGGTACAAGTGTTTATCAAACCTWAAGCACTGTTCGATACGGGTACACATATTGCTGCACCCCTAATATATCGTATATGTAACATGGGCTTCATTATTTAACTTTTTATTAATGCCAATTTATAATGTATGTGAATCGATCGTCTACTGAAGACCAAGTGTTCAGTTAATTGCTTTCTGGAAATAATTGTCAAATTATTATTATTATTTTTAATCAGACTGTTTTTTCTATAGTATTTTTAATGCATTCAGTTAAATAATGCTGACAAAGCAATACTTAAAAGATCAAATTTAAAAGTGGTTCTTTGCTTAGGCTGTTACTTGAGTGAAAAATCAACCAACGCTCAGTACAACTTTAAAGGATCATCATATGTTAAACAGGATACTTCTGAAGTCATCGGGTTTGTGTTTCTATGTTTTCACAGGTACAAAGGGCGACGTCTCGAGTGCCACGCTCCCCACGTGCCCAATCAGCCATCGGAGGCAGCAGCCCACTTTTACTTTGAGCTGGCCAAGACTGTGCTCATCAAGGCCGGAGGAAACTCATCCACATCCATTTTCACCCAGCCCTCAGCCAGCGGCGGTCACCAGGGACCACACAGAAACCTGCACCTCTGTGCCTTTGAGATCGGGCTGTACGCTCTTGGCCTCCACAACTTCGTCTCACCCAACTGGCTCTCCAGAACTTATTCATCCCACGTGTCCTGGATCACCGGTGAGGGAGAGGTTTTTATTTCAAGGCTGATAGCTCTAAAGAACATTTATAAGGTTTAATGTGTACCACACTTCTTCACTGTATCCTTTGTTTCTCCTTCAGGCCAAGCCATGGAGATTGGCAGCGCCGCCCTGAACATTTTAGTGGAGTGTTGGGACGGGCACCTCACCCCCCCAGAAGTGGCCTCCTTGGCAGACCGAGCATCACGAGCCAGAGACCCCAACATGGTCCGCGCGGCGGCGGAGCTGGCCCTCAGCTGCCTGCCTCACGCTCACGCCCTCAATCCAAACGAGATCCAGAGAGCCCTGGTGCAGTGCAAAGAACAGGTGCTGATTTACTAAGTACCTAATGGTGATGGATGCTTCTGATTGTATTTTTGGTGGGTTCATAAAGGTAGAGTCTGCCCTTTGAACATCTGTGAAGTTCCAACGTTAGTTTTTGTGTTTTTACATTAGTTTTTATTCACCCATACAATAAAAAACAAACGGTTAAAGCTGGAACATGAGAAGAGAGCAGTTCTCCTACAGTCAAGACATCAGTCCAGTCCAGCTGCATTTTAAAACTAAACAGGAGCAAACTGTGGGTAAAACTGCACAATTAGTTMAAAATGATTCCATGCATAAGCATTTTCTTTTAGAACTAAGATTATTTCTGATTTGCTTTTAACCCTTCAGCTTTAGTAAGAGCGTCCACAAAGATAATACATCAAAACTTGATTAGGAATAAGTTACCACCTCTTTGGAGCTCTACAGTTCAAACGACACACTAAAAACATTCAGAGTTTAAATGGATTATAAAAGGTTGGATTTTACAAAACTGAACAATCAATTTAAGATTTGTAATAAATTTTGCCCAATTGTGTAGTTTTTGTATGAGACTTTTTGAATCCGTGAGAAAAGTGATAAACTAAATAAAATAATAATAATAATAATAATAAAATACTGCGACTGAGTTAGAAGAATATTGATTGAATATGTAAGTGTTGGTGCTCTTAGTAAACCCACATTTTAAAGCTATTTTAAGTATTTAAATGAACTGATTTGGCATTACCTAATTTATTATGCACCAATGTTCTCATGGGGATATTTTGTCACTGATATATTTGATGTTAAGTGATGTAAAAATCAAAGAAAATTAGCCAAACTGTCRAAATCTGTTGATGAACTACAACTGGAGCCAAATTAGACCTTATACAACATTTTAATGGACTCTGATAAAGAAGGAAAAGGGAAGGAAACAAAAAAAGATGTGACATCCGACTGTTTCAGATCTACAGGGAAATCTGTGTGGAGTAAATTATCAGACATTTTGGAGTTAAAACAAATATGATGATTTCCTTTTTTACTCGTACATCTTTACCTGTCTGCTCCTGCCTCCTCATTGCTCTTCCAGGACAACGTGATGCTGGAAAAGGCCTGCATGGCTGTGGAGGAAGCAGCCAAAGGCGGCGGCGTCTACCCCGAGGTTTTGTTCGAGGTGGCCCACCAGTGGTACTGGCTTTATGARCAGTCGGTGGCCGGGGGCTCTGGCCAGCAGCGCGAGACCTCCGGGCGATGCGGGGCCAACAGCGGCTCCTCCAGGAGGCTCCCGGACCCCAACTGCGGCGTCCTGGACAGCTCCGTCAGCATGGAGTCGGCGGGGATGGCGGCTGTCACGGCTTCGGTCACTGCCGCCGCCGTCGTTCCCGTCATCTCTGTGGGCTCCACCATCTACCAGTCCCACGCCATCCCCGGCCAGGCTATGGCTCACCCCCACAGCCAGGGGCTCCACCCCTACACAGCCATCCAGGCCCACCTCCCCACCGTCTGCACCCCACAGTAYCTGGGACACCCTCTGCAGCACGTCCCTCGGCCCGCGGTCTTTCCTGTGACAGGGGCGTCGTATCCACAGGTCAGAACTCCTCCGCTTTCACTTTTTCTTTCCATATGTGTGGTTAGAATGTTTTTTTATTTTAACAGAGCTGTGAGTGTAACCATACCTCTGTTTCCAGGGGATGCACCCAGCAGCTTTTATTGGAGCCCAGTATCCTTTCTCAGTGGCTGCTGGCCCACAGCCCCCTCTAGCTGCCACGGCCGTCACCTTCCCCGCCGTTCCCGTTCCGTCGATGACTCAGATCGCCGTCCATCCYTACCACGCAGAGACAGGCCTGCCCCTCAGCACCACTGTGGCAGGTCAGATAGATTTAAGAGTCTTATTGAGGTGTTTGGTCTGAAACTGTCAGAACCAAAGTGGTTGTGTTGTGTTTTACAGTGAGCAGCATCCACTCTGGCCCCACCATGCAGGCCATACAGGGGGCGTCTCTGCCTGCTGTCTCCTCCCAGCCGGCGCCGTTGGTGAGCAACCCCTTCCCTGTGGAAGACGARCAGCACAGCCAGCCAATCAGCCAGCAGGGCCTGCACTACCTGCACTCTGCCTACAGAGTCGGTGAGGACCGCCACCAACTTGGTTTTATATTTAAGCCTCATCTTCATTGTCCAGCTTCACTCTGACCGCTTCAGGTCTGCTCGAGTGTATGTGTGTCTCTAAGGCAGTGTGTCCTTCTTTGGGCGTGGTCATGAGCGGATCCTCAACGGGTGAATCCTAGTTTCGTTTTTTGTCCGGTAGTCATGACCTTTATTTATTTATTTGTTTATTTATTTATTTATTTTAATTAGTAACGACTCTGCTTAAGTGTTCGAGTGCACAGGTTACAAGTGTGCAAAAAAATTGAGAATTGGGACAGTACAGATTACACCATCAAGCTGCGCCTCTGCGTTGTAACTGTGACATCAAACATGGCATTTTTTTATTGAACCAATATAACAGAACAAAGACAAAAAATAAACATATAAATGTTACTGACCATTTCACATTTACATATCTTTTAATTATCTATTCTAATTATCTATTCTAA